CAGCAACTCTCATGGATAGTCGTATCAACTAGAACAACATGGAGGAATTGGATAAACTTTCTATGTCACCCCATTAATAATAGAAGCACTTATAACTAAGAATTACTCCGGTGTCATGTACGATCGTACCGATGAGAATATCCCAGATAGGTCGGATCGTCTCCACGGTGTTATCTGCGCTGGCTAAGCAGGGTGGTTCCGTCCATCGCGTTTCTGGATCGTATCGCCCCAAGAATCGATCGTGGTCGGGTGCACACGCGCTGACCGGTTGCGGTACGCGTTCGGAAAACGCGTCCCGGACACGTTTCGCCTGCTTCTGGACAGAGGAGGATCGCTACGAACGTGAGTTCTTCGAGGATCCTCCTCTATGCACCTTATCCTCTTCTAACTTCAAAGTTTCAACCTTCGTTCCACCATCTTTTCTCTGTTTCACGTTCCCGTGGAAATTGTTTACGGAGAGGTTGTTACGGACTAGCACGCACCGTTGTCCTTGCCTGGTCGCGCGCGCGCGCGCGCCAATCAGCGGAAGTTCGCGCACAAAGACTTCGAGATCTACCCGTGCGTTAGGCTGACCGAGTGGCGACTGAGACTCACCCTCCGTGATGGCGCTGACTACCCCCTGATAACCCCCACCATCGGGCCACTTCACTACCCCCTCTACACCGTGCACGTCGAACCCCTGTGGCGCTCGCGCGAGAGCCTGCGTGGCTTTTTCGAATTTGACTATCTTCTTCCATGGAAAAAAGGAATTTATTTATTGTTATTTGTTTTTGGTGTCGTGATAATAAGAATGAAGTTGGAAGAGAGTCTGAAAAGTGGTTGAAAAGTTTTATAGAGGATGATTTTCGATTTGCTTTGAGATGTCATGAGAACAGAAGATGTTTGAGAATGTTGAATATTTTTAAGAAGTTTGCAAGATTTTCATGATTCCTTTAAATTTAATGTACAAGGACTTTAATTATTTTCTGTGCGTTTTGGGTTACAATCGTTCTATGCTACAATTTTTTATTGGTTTATTGATAAAAATAGAATTCGAAGGAATTTAAAGGTTATATATAATAGAATGATCGGTGACTTCTCCCGAGATGTTACCACAATTACAAAATATCGAAAATTTTCAGATGATAAGTTAGGTTAGAAAAATTGGACTTTCTGCTATGTTCAGTGTCATATGATCCATATTTTTGGCTGTAATAATCTCCATAAAATAAACAATAATAACAACGAAATGAATAAAACCGTAACGTACGGTAAAGTTCGAATACCGTCATTTATAACACTAAATAACAATATTTGGATTTGAAATCAGATTTTCGCCGAAAATACGAAATCTCATACATTCCATTGCAAATGTAGAATCCTCTGACATAGTCGTCGTATCTAGGAAAATTCAGCCGGTTTATTGGGTCAATGGAGACAATGCGCGTGTACTTACATGCGTACTTGCGACACACCGTGAGATGTACGTTGGCAAAACGACGTGACTCGCGGCCGAAAGTAAGACCACTATATGCCAGGGGCATCTCGTTATCCACGAATTTCCGACCGAGCTGTTTACCGCGTTAACCAACCGCCCTTTAATTACTCAAAGTTGCGAGAGCGCCTCCAAGGGCTACTTTCGTGAAGCGTGCAACGTTAATGAAGTTTCTGCATCTACGCTTCGTTCCTGACTGAATAGACATAGTCACTTCACGACGAAAACACGAGGATAGGTTTTGAAAAAGATGTAGACGGTTTTATAGAAAGTTGAGAATGAAGTTTGGGAAATTGATTCCGTGTTGGTTAAGTTTCAAAGAAAAGAATATACCAGCTTTATCCCACGAAACTAATCTTTTTGAATTTAAAAATAAAGAAATATTTCTCTTTGTGACTAATTATGCTTTAATTTTTCTAATCTAGGACTCTTTAGTAATTTATGTGAAAATCTTTCTGGCAATGTATTAATAAATTTAATAATTAAATATCAAGTTAATACTGAAAACAGTTCAGAATAGAGGATCATGAAAATATGGTGGATCAAATAGAGACGTCCGTGAACAAGGAAGTAAAGCATGAGAACAAAAAGAAGAAAATTGGCGTAGGGATAAAGAGAGAGAAAAAGAGTTGAAGGGAGGGCGCCACCTCACCGGGTTCCCAATTTCCATCGGTTCCTGCGGACCGCACACTTATCATCCTATCATTACCATGCTGGTTTAACTTCCTGCTGTAACGAATTGCGCCCATAGAACCATGTGACAGCTTTAATTAAAACGGATTAAAAATCATTTTGAAAATACTCTTTAATTGTTTTAAAATTAGTAACTCACCAGTACTTTTTAAACATTTTCGAACATTTAATTAACTTTCCAATCCCGAAAAGTCCTTTTTGGAAAATTATCATACTAATACATACATGAATAAACCAGCAAAAAATATCTAAAAGCTCTTTAGCTCATTACGCTTATTTCCTTAACGGTGTATCGCAACTTCCTGTCCCCCGTAGCCAATACGCTATATACGCCAGCATAAGAGGGTAAAATCTCAGGGCGAAGAAGAGTCCTCCCGGTTCCCATAGCGGCGGAATATTTACGCGAGCAGCTGGCAGCGCGCACGTGCACACTTTGATTCTCTGACACTAATTGCGAGGCGCGTCTGGCTGACTCTCGAGGCCCGAAATTAATTAATGGCATACCAAATGACGAGTCGCACCGTGGTAGAGAAACCGCGCTCGTCGAGGCCTCGTTGCCTGGAAAAAAGCGAAATAATACGGCGTACGATCGTGCCGCGAATATCAATGCTTCCTTCGTTGTCATCAAGAAGCAACGGCTCGTGCTCGTTAACGACCTAACCTTTCTATCGTTTTTGTTTTCCTTTTTTTTTTAATTTTAATTTTCTTTTTTTTCTGTTTGAAACGTAGATATAAACTGTACATTCGTTGCAATTTCACGCGAACGGGATAGAGTATTTAACCGACCAAATGATCGCTCATTTAATCCGTCTCCTGTTTTTGCACGTCACGACATGCTGATTTATTTTGATGGCACGTTTTCACTACGTATGTAGAATGGGTTTCAAGTGGGGTAAATACGGCAGTCTTACTGAATTCTAGGAATTAATTAATTTGTGTGCAAGAAATCTAGTGGACAGGTTTGAAAAAATTTGTTCCGTAGAAGTTTCCAAACTTATTTTTCATCTTATTGGGAATAAATAAAGTTTATTTATAATTGCGTGAATATTTACTAAACGTATCAATTTTATCCTGTAACCGTATACATATTTGCACTTCAAATTTTCTGATATGTTTCATTTATATTAGGTTATCCCATAAGTCGTGTCGTTTTTTGGCGGTGAGTTTAAGTATAAAATAATATTACATTTACTTTTAATCGTCGACGTATTGTCCATCGTTTTCAATGACGTTCTCCCATCTCTTAATCAACCGCTTAATTCCATTTTCAAAAAATTCTTGAGGTTTTGAATTAAAAAACTGAAATTTGGAAATCCACCTTTGACATTTTCTTACAATTAAAACATCTTTACCGTACACGTCACAAATGTTTGTAACAGCGTTTTTCACTGTATTGCCTTTTTTAAATTCATACAATGCCGAAAATGAATTTCATCGACACTCATTGTTTGAATTTTCTTAAATGGAAGATATCGTTCTAAATATTTCGAATGCACGTTTTAGACTGATGAGAGGATACCTCTTGAAAAGCATAGGGAGAAGTTTTCATAAACAGTTCGCCGAAACAAGATACGGATGTTTATATAAACTGCGATAAGAGGCGACACGACTTATGGGATGACCTGATACATAGCGACATTCGTCTCTTCATCAAAACAATCTGTCACTTCCAGTCATTATATCATACCATCGATATTAACTGAATCCAACCTAATTTTTCTTAACCTAAAAATTATACCTTTCCTCAAAACATCTATTAATTCCAAATTTTTGACCAGTAATATTATACTCATGCAAGCTTTCAACATGATTCTTCTACGTCGTAAAGATCTTAAAAAATGGTAGCACCAAAGCTGGTCAAGTAAAATACGTTTAATCCAAGACTGGTTCTTTCATCGTAAAAATTTTATGATACAGCATCGCCTAATGCACAATCCAAGGGGATTGTGGGGCATTCAAAAAGAGAAGCATTATTCCGGAATCTTCGATTTTATTTCGATTCGGGTTCGAGAGAAATCAAGAATATGGCAATTTGCTCGCGCGGAATTAATTACGCGCGATCTACGAACACTTCTCTGTAGCTGCGGTTGGCTCACCGCCAAATGGACTTTTACATACGGTGAACGTAAAAACCGGCGAAAAAATGCAGTTGATTTATCGCTTCGCATCGATTGGGCAACACCGGCTGTCTTCGCTATTAGAACCTACCGTTTGGTCTGATACTATATTAAACTCATTAAGTATAGTGCGAATGAAGCTAATTGTGATAGACCATTCTGTAGACCATGTCGAAGATTTTAATTTTGAGGTTACTTTGAAATTATTTAAAATTTGAATTATGGTGAACTTTTATACAGAATTACATTGAATTATGTATTTATTTAATAACTATCTAGAATATAAATTCTTCTTTATACTGAAGTTTACATAAAGGTTGCCAGTCACGGATTATTCACTAAGGGTTTTAAGATTTTGTATCAGGTCTTATAGTTGTTGGAAACGCAATGCGGAAGAATAAGCGGTCACGCGTGCACACGCACGCAGAGCAGAAGCCCTCGTGTCGCAACACACGACCGCCCTTGGTCCACTTTTTTCTCCCCCGTTTCTTTCTCCTCGAAGAAAACACGCGAAAGCCGTCAGTAAATTTCGCGAACATTGCGTGGCAACTTTCGCGAGACTCGTCACGGCAATTTACTGACGATAGAGGCTTTATCAGAGTTTTCGCTATGCTCCTTTCTTACGTGTCAAAGGACTGAACAACTCGGATGTACACAAACTAAAAGTTTTATTGTAACACAACACAACAACCACTGACTATTAGTTTGACGAATACTTAGTCTTTGGATTTCTGTCCCTCCTTTAAAAGAGCACTCGTGATTCCTACTTTCTTTAATTCTTCTACTAGTTCACCATTCTTGTGCATTTGTAGGAGAATATCACATCCACCTACAAATTCTCCATTTATAAACACTTGAGGTATTGTGGGCCAGTTAGAGTAATCCTTGATACCTATGTAGTAACAAGTAAATAATTTTTTAAAAGCTTTATTGGAATAGGAATCTTTAAGATTTGTTTTCAAGTGCCTTGTTGAAGTGCAATATTTCTATTTTGGAGAATATTAACCTTGTCTGAGCTCATTTTCAGCAAGAACATCATAAGCATCATATTTGACATCATGCATTTTCAATATTTGCACAACCACATTACTAAAGCCGCACTTTGGACTATCTGGAACACCTTTCATGAACACAACTACTTTGTTCTTCTGTAAAACATAGTTGACAGTAATTTGTAAAGATTCAACACTTTGCTGATTTAACAGTAGTCTTCTGTATAGATTTGTGACTTAATACTTCTTTGATTTTTGATTTTTACAATTGCTTAAGTTACATAATTCAACGTAATCAATAATTTAAAATTTAAAATAAGTAATAAGTAATGAAATCATGATAAATTTCATTCATTTAATGTCGTACATATCAACATGTGTAAAAACACCTTAATATAACGTGTAATAATACCTTAACGATGTTAGCAATTTTATCGGTAGTCGTCGTAAGACTCCTGACAACGTTGTAAAACCTAAAGGGTATCATTTTTGAACACTATTATGGACAGTTTGATGAATTTGAACTTGAATTTTTTAATAAAAAAGCAACACGCCAGGTTACGTGGTCAATACATCAACCACGAATGGATTACGCCATGTTGGTTTTCCATTTCTATTTACAGACTCCTATCGCCCTCTACAGACGAAAGGAAGAAATATAAAAACCAAAATAAATTTAGTTCGTAAAAATTTTTAGGCAGTCTTCTTTCAAATCTATAATTACAATTTTCCTGAATTTATTTCTAATAAAGTAATTTATTTAATTCGTTAATGGTAAGTTAGATTCCTGCATAATCGACACAGCAAGGAGATGTGTTGTTTTTAATTATTACCCAGCCTTGTTAGATGTCTCAACAGTTCTCTAAATGTTTTGCCTCCTATTTCTAATGTTGCACGCATTAAATTCATATAAAAAGTTCGTATACCGTACATTTACGTAATCATTACATTATACCATTACGTAATTCGGTATTATATTGGATTACATTTAAATCATATTCGTTTGAATAATATACCAAAATAGTTTCATATTCATTAACAGGATGATAATGCAATTTAATACTCGTGCCATTAATCTCACTATCTTTAACTTATTACTTCGTAATACTGATATTGTACAGCAACGTTAATTTCGTCTCCGTGATATTTATTGACGTCAGAAATAGAAGTACAAAACAATGTGTATATGGTATATAAACATGTATATTTTTGAAAAAGCTATAGCGTTTCAGCGGATTCATAAAAGATACAGCCATGTAACCCCGTTTCACCACAGCCACTTCAAATTCGATCTACGTTCGTGGCCTACTTCCGTGGCCGTTTACGCTCGTAACGAAAGGAATCCTGGCCACGATACTTCACGGATTGTCTTTAACACTAGAATTACCGACAATTAATATGTACCTACTTTTACAAGAAACAAGTCCCTAACAGAAAATATTCATTTAAATAACAGTTCCGTCGGTAAATATTAATATATCGTCTGTAGTGAATCCTATAGGACTACACAATTTATTCGAACAGAAAAATTTTATCGTAATAACTTCAAAGACGAATTTCGCTACTCTATTTTCAAATCTTCGAGTATGCAACAAAAAGATTTGAGAACAAAGGGAAACAAAGAACAGGCTCGTTATAAAAAGTTCTTTTTATCGACTCCCGAGTTCTTTCGCGTGACATCATTACGCGAACATCCATAAATACCGGAAATTTATCTTAACTGATCAATATGTTATCGACGTCACCGAAAGTGGATTGAATTGAAATTTTATTAGTACCACTATAGAAAAATTCGCGGCAAAGGACCCTCGTCACGATAGCGAGCATATGCTTGGAATTATTCCTTTTCCAAGACGAAGTGTCGTCATCGATTGCGACACAACAATGCTACCGTGTTGGCTGCGACGTCACCGTCAGGCATTCCTTTATAGAGGCGACTCGTTGACGCGAGGAGCATCGATTTTTTCAAAAATAATCTCTGACAGAGCGCATGTTCCTCTAACTACAGCTAAGAAGGGTTCACATTATGTATTATACAGGGTGTTTTCAAACTATAGGAAAAAACCTAACCTGAAAAATTCTTGACAAACATAGGTTAGTCAAACTAATTATTTCTTACATATTGTACTTTTTTAAATTCGTCAATTAATAGTTCCGTATATATGTATATAACAATCGGTTGATCGAATACCTTGATAGTAGAACGAATTCGATCCACCGTCATTCGACATAATCCCAATATTCAGGCCATAGTTAAACAGGGGGTAGTACTTTTTTAACGTATTTTAACTTATCGCCACCATTTTCAGGTATATACACTTGTCTTTCGTTCACACTTTATAATATTGTTATCGTTTACTGCCAGTATTGTTCTATTTTCTATTTGTTACGTTTTGCAACTATATTGTTTGTTGTTTAAACAATTCCTCAAGAAAATATGTTTTTGTTTTTAGTTTGGACATCGTTGCCGTAATATACACGCGTAGAAACTATTTTTCCCGTGACGCAACAGTGAAAAACTTGTTAACCGAGAATGCGTCTGCAGCACGTGGTTGTCCTTTCCGAAGCTATGACGTCAGGTCGAAATCATGGTCACTGTGACCGATCGTCATGGAAACTGTACACTCTATGGGTACACCAACGCGAGAACGCCCACGAGATTTTAAAGTTCGACCAATGGACGCCTATACAGCTTCACGGATCAAGTCCTTGCGATAGGTCGGGAATGAAAGCACAAAAATAGCAACAGGTAAAATTGTTAAAAAATATTCACTTTCGAGTGAATCTTATAAAATCGTTTTCACCAAAATCTAAGTGCTCCAGAGGATGAATAACGGTACGAATAACTTTTTAATTCGGTAGAAATAAAAAATTCAATGAAATAAAATTGTCAAAATTGGCATCAATGAACATTAATTGTTTTTTTTAATTCTTTCACTCTCTATCTTTTATTCATTGTACTTCATCTCTCCAGTGTAGGAGAATTTATCATAAATACTAGGGAGAAGTCTCACGTGTACCTAACCTAACAGAAACACGACCTTCCAACAAATGTAATAGATACTTTTTTTGTCATTGCGTAAGTCGCGACAAGCCTACTTATTGTCTACCTTCTAACTACGCGTTTCTGTTATAAGTTTAGCCAATAAAATTCGACTAAACAATTTTCTTATTTTCACTTTCTACGTCTCTCTGTCTTGTTCATAATACAACCAGATAAAATTCTGTTAACCTAAAAGTAACATAGGGCAGTGGTATTCAAGATACGGATGAACAAACACCTTATGCGTATAAATCGTAGAAACACGGGTAGAAGGCCGATCATGGAATCCAAATTTCCATATGTATATCGCTTTCACTTATCGAGTAAAGTAAACGTGTATGCGTAGCCTTATCGATACGCGCAATAATTGCGCATGTCCTGTAACGCGGCCTTGTGATCGGCTGCTCTTCTCCACACGCGTTACTACCAGTGCTCGTTCTATGCTCAGTCTTTGCAATGTTGACAGGCTGAAACGTATGTCTAACAAGCTAAAAAGTTATGAGATTCACGAAGGTCAGCCTCGGTAGAGAATATAAAGGAGAGAAGGGGAAAGGTACGTTGGTTGGATTACGGTGTTCAGGTACGGGAGATTGTTGCACTATTTCACGTAGCTCGCTTTAACGTGACTACACCGTGACGAGGGGTTTCACTTTGCCGCAATGTTGGCAGCCACTGGCAGTTAATACATTTCCACTGGTGGGACGGTAACGCTAAATGATACGGTTTCCTGTTCACAGGAAACTCGAAACTACCCGCGGCGCACAAGGTATACCGAAACTCCGGCGCGTAACTTTATTGGATACACGAAAATATAACCTACGCGCCGAAAAATTACACGCCGACCCACAGCCATGTTAAAACTTTTCACGTATTTCGCTGCACGTAATGCAAACAAACGTCATACAGAAGGCGAGTTCTGTTAAAGAAAGTAAAATTGGAAGAGAATAGTAGAATATTTACTTTATACTATTATACAGAATTCTCTTTCCGTGATATTGGCTTATTAAAAAATTTCAACGGTGTCACCGAATGAGTAAGGTACTCGTCATGAATGATTACAATGACAATCAATTTGTTCAGCATAAATTTTCCTTCGAAAAGAAAGTAAATCTTATACGGGAAGCATTTTGTATTTTTAAAAGATAAAACAAAGTGCTTTCTACATGGATTAGTTGGTAATCCGTGTCAGCGATAGAAAAATGATTTCGGTAAGCAGGCGAGACTCGGCGTTCGTCAGCTTGTCTCGATTATCCTCATGATGTGGTTGAGGTGGGGGAGGTTGTCGGCACTGGCGAGCATCTGTGACGGAGAACAAAACGCTGGAGCAAAGAGGAACATGTTAGCGAGTACAACGAAGAGAAAACGATTCGTGAACGAGGAACGCGAACGTGCGACGAAGACGGAGAAACCTTACGCCGATTCCTCTCGAGGTCGAATATAGGAACGAAACAGAAAAAGACAGACCGGTCCAGCGGCGACCGTTCTGGCGCATACGCAACGAACGCAGTGCACGTCAGAGCCAGATACAAGAAAAAAATTATTGCACGCATGTATATTGCGATAAGAATGATAAAGATATTCACGAGTAACGAATATTGCATTTTATATGCAATCATAATGTACTTAAACATGGAGCGCAGAAGGGGCGATTCATGTGAGTTGCATATAAGAACATTTGCGTCACATTTCTTCCTTATCTACCTGCAATATCGACAGTCATTAACAAAATGTAACCCTTTCAATCACTATGTACTTAAATCATTACCTTTTATACCAATAACGCTTCGCTACAATTATAAAAAGATCAATTGCATAGAAGCTATATAAAATGATTGAAAATCGTTTAAAAAAGCAAAAACAGTGGCAGATAGAATCAGAGAAAACAATGTGAAATGTAAGACTCTTTTGTCGGAGAGAGAAGGAAACGTAATCAAATAACGCGCGGAAAAGGACAGATGAATTTGTCGTTGGAGGGAGTGAGACGAAGCATACGGTTGAATAGGAGTGGTGGGAAGGCAGCGCTAGTGGAAGGGAGAGAGTGCCACGCGACGCAGTAGGTGGCGAAAGAGAGAGAGAGGTAAACGGTGCGAAAGTGGCGGAGGGGGGGAGTAATCGAGTGGCTTGGTGAGCGGCGGACGGTATCTTGCGCGAGAGTGGGGAACGGTGGGTAGCAAGGGGGGGCGAGGACAAATGACGAGGCGCGCGAGCCATCAGGGCCGTATGCTAGAGAGCATACGACACGCGCTCTGGGAGCTATGG